CTGTTTTGCAAAAGATTCCAAGTGTGACGGACTTCATCAAGGGCTCAATGTCAAGTTCCACGAATGAGCCACCCCTGCTTTCTTTGAGTATCTTGCTCTGAATCCTCTCTGTCATTTGATGTGCAATCTTTTGCATTTCCACACGAGAGTGTGCCAAGAAGTCTGGATTGAACGTCTTGGTCAAAGCAAGGCGGTGCATCCTCCAATCCTTCCCATTCAGGGCAGCTATACCACGTTCTCCAGTAACTCTCGCCATGTGCCTCTTGAGGAGCATAGGTCTGAACCTGTAAGACTCCTTGTTTAGAATGGTCTTGGCATCATTGACATCAAAAACATAGAGGCTGGGCCTATCACCAAGCCAAACACCCACATGTCCGTGCTGGTCGGTGGACTCTTTGAGCCAGGCCATTGTAACACGGAAATTACCATCCATGAGTTGAGCCAGGTGCCCCAACAGCCAGTGGCATTCACCTGGCATGGGGACATTGGGAAAAGGGCGTTTTGTTTCACGATAGTAATGAATCCATTTGGAGCAAACCCAAACGAGCGAGACAGCTACTACTATGGTAGTTACCAGGATGGGATCTGCCATTTTTGTTTGTTTGTTGCTTCTGTGCTAAGATTAGCTCAAAAGTGCTTTTTGTGAGGAGAGTCCTGAAGCATTGGGAGACTAACGGAGGGTGAGTGCGAGAGTGCGAGAGACATCCGGCTGCAAAGATGTAAAGATTCCCAGCGCTTTCGCGACCAATGCTGCAACGGTCCGATACAACCGAGGCACTCGGCATCCGGCAACGAAGTCAGGTCGTATCCGGTTTGAATGTTGAAAAAGGATGGATGTCAGCAGATCGGCACCAAACGATTATTGGTCGTGGCCGAAAAAAGCAAACGGTACATCTGTTTGGACCCCATCCACCGCAACCATGACAAAAGAAACGAACGGCGATACAACTGTGGCTTTGATTTTTAAAAAAGTGTATTATGATTTTAACCTGTTTTATGCAAGTCAACTGTAGTTCAGCTTCTCAATCACTTGTTGCAGGGTGGCGCCTGTGTATGCGTTGTATCTATGAATTCCTTTGTCGCTTTCCCATTGCTGTTGCCGTTTTCTTGTACGGTCCCCGAACCATGCATGAGGGTTCATCTCACGTTTATCGCTTGAACGATTCAATTCATCGTTGGGCTCACTGGATTGGCTTTGTTTCAGGTCAGGGCGTCTTAGGCGTTTTCAAATGCCTTCTGGTTGCCGTTGTTGCGCGACGCGTAGTAAGTAATGAAAGCGCCCTGGCTGTCGATGAGGGGGACACCCTCAACTCCCACAAAGTGATGAAGGAAGCAAGCCACCATAGTCTCTAGCACGGCTTCATGGACGTCCTTGTGGGAATCGCAACGACATCCACGGGTGTTGGTGCAAACGCTGCTAGAATTCGCCTTTTGCATGTACATGGTCTTGAGTTCGGTCATGAGAGGACTGGCGTTCATCTGACGCTGTAGCTCGGGTTGCGAGAGCAACTTTTGGATCATGATCTTTCGAATACGCTTGTGATCCTTGCGAGATTCCACCTGAATGGTAGGGGCGAGTGTTCCGGATTGGAAGAACGAGGCCATTTGCTCTCCCATTGACGAAAAGAAGCCATCAATGAACGGCTTGCTTCCATCAAATGTGAAGGAATGGTCATCATCAGCATCTTCCTCTTCCTCGTCGTCCGCCTCTTCCTCGGAGACAAAGTCGTCATCGTCAGTCAGAAAGCCGCCTTCCTCCGCCGTAATGTAGGCGTCCGTGTCAGGACTGCAGATGCTACTCAACGTCTCGTCTTCAGTGTCACTCTCCTCAACCTCCTTTGGCTCGGGCAGTTTCTTGATGTCTAGTAGCTTGGTCTCTACCATTGCAGCAAGGACCTTTGCTTCGGCGGGGCGGCTCACGTCGGGTAGATTGACAGCAGCGTCAGTAGCCGTTGCTGTGGTCACATTCTGGGCGGTAGCCAGAGCGCTCTCGCCGTGTGTTCCGGTTTCAGAGGTGTTGCTCACAAGGATCGTGTCACTGCTCATATTGGCCTCGTTGGAAGTGTCGTATGCGCTTTCAATACTGTCATCATCGTCGTCCATCTTGACGAGACACCCACTGTCCTTGCGGTTTGTTGCTGCTGCTGTTGTTGTTTGGGCGTCATTGTCATTGCTTTCTTGTTGTTGGCTGTTATACTGGGCAGACGTCTCCACCAGCTTTTGCTTGAGCCCCATAAAGACCATGTCGGTTTCACAGCGAATAATATCATCTCGGGTCTGTTGAATGGATGTCTGGCACTTGCGTAGAGTCTGAACCGACTCGGCATACTTGACAACGGTCTTGCTAGCATACTTGCGACGAAGCTTGTCACGACGGGTCAACCCCGTGGTGGTTTCCGTCACATAATCCACCAGAGAGTCTGATATATCCAAGTCGAGTGCCTTGACGAGATGTTTCATGTCTTGACTCTTGAGGTTGTTTTTGGCAATGTTGTTCATCTTGGTCATGATCTTTTTTTGGGCGGGAGAGGTCACCTTGTTGATGATGCTCGTCGATGATGGAGTTGGTGCCGGCAGGTCTCCTGCTGCTACAACAGCATCAAAGGCAGTCTTCATCTTCTTCATGGCTCGAAGGCTGGAACTATTCTTGCCGCGTCCCATGGTGGAAATTAACAGCTTTGACAAGGACGACAAGGCAGGGATAACAACAGTTGATGTGGCCAAAAGTGTGGGACTTGACCGTTCTCGTCTTCTCTCGCAAAGAAAATGAAACGTCCGAAAGAGAAAAACGTGACTCGTTAAGTCATGAATCGTTGTTAAGCCTTTTTCAAACTGCCGACTTAAATCTCCTTTTTGGATCTTTTCACGGAAGCACCCGTCACCCGTCACCTCCAAAGATTTGAGCAGCAATGAAGACCAAGATGAGATGATGAGATGATGCGTAATGAGGCACCTTCCGATGGTAACACTAATAAGGACACCTTGGCCATCTTGACTCTTCGAAAGCATCAAGATGGAATCTGGATCCATCGACTGGTGGAAGCTCTGCAGAAGCAGCAACAGCAGAAGAAAGATCCAGACGGTCTTCCTGAGATCCTCATCCAAGTGGTTGTCTTGGAAGATTTCTTGCAAGGACCCTTTTGTGTTTCCTCTCCTCCTCCAGAAATAATAATCGACAGTGATCATCTACAGGTTACAGCTGGCACTCGTTGGATGGGATTGGTCAATCGAGTATCGGACGCCGCCGAACCTTGGCAGGTCAAAGCTTGCATGGCAGTGATGCAGATTGCCAGACTGGTTTGGAAGATTCCCATTTGGAATGGACCCGATGCCTACAGTCTGTGTACTCACAAGTGGTGTCATCACGTATTGTTCGCACAAGCCAACTTGGATTCCCCACACACAGTGGCAGCGCTTCAAACGAGCAGTTGTGCCAATGATGACGACGGGAATTGGATGAAGGAAGCCAAAGACGCCCCAGAGAAAGCTACATCCTCATCTCGCCACGACAATCCACAATTAGAAGTCAAGGCGGTAAACATGCTGCATCAGCTTTCTACAGAGCAAGACGATCACGAAACCAAACCAGCAACAACTCCAGCCATTCTCGACTATCTCATCAAACCGAATGCCGGTGGTTTTGGAGCAGGTATTGAACGTCGACAAGTCAAGATGATGGATGAACAGAATCATGCCGGTGATCCAAGAAATCACACTCCTACATCATCAACAATAGTAACGGTACAGGGGAGACCAATCCCAAACTATTCGGATCGCTTTGTGCTGTTTCAAAATTATGTCCAGCCCAAGGATGGAAAGATCTTTCGCGTTTGGTTCCTCATGGGAAAAGTACAATGTGCCGTGGAACGGACTCTCGAAATACCACTACTCGAGGCATCAACAGCAACAACAACAACAACAACAACAACAACCACCATCACATCCACAGAAGAATTCACATCGGGCTGTGTTGGTGGGGTTTGCCAACGTCAGCCTAGAAACACGCCTCCTAGAATACAGCCGTGGTCTGTCCCAGAGGATGTACGGCAGGAAATGGAAGAGCAACTGCTCCCAGTATTGCCACCGGATGCTCATTGTGGTAGTGTCGAGTTCTTGTTGGCGGAGGAACCATCCAAGAGTGAGGAGACCACTAATAAGCCAACAACAACCTACAAGAGATTGTACTTTGACTTGAATTTGCTATCCACACTGCCAGTGGAAGAAGACCAACAAACTCCTGATCCTTGGCTGCAACTGGCAAGTGCTATTTGGACCTTTGTGAGGCAATAATAACAGTGCGTTAAGGAAATAATGGTCAAAGACAAAACGGTGGAAAGCAAGTATAGATAGATGACGAATTGAAAGCAGAATGCGCCTCAAATTGACTGGCTAGGGCGAAGTGTGAGAATGTAAAACGGCGTGGTCAAAAAATAAAAGCCAGAAGTAAACCACATCATTATTGTTGATCAACCCAATGTCGTAGTATTTGGTCAATGGCTAACAGCGCGCTCTGCCCACGCTCTCTTCGCTTCCACGGTCATTTTATTAACGCGAACGAGGAACGAGAGGGCACGGTCATCTTTTGCTGATTCGACTTCTAAGAGCATTCAACACCGGGGTCACCCATAGCACAAAACCCAAATGGTCCGTGGCTTGACATACTCGCAGCAAGGCTATGCTTGCTGGCAAAAGAGAACCACCTCGCACCTAATGTGATGTTATTGTGACGTCATTGATGATGTGGAAGCTTTGCCCCCTAAGTAAATTTGAATCCAATTAGTCAAATGGGTTTGGGTCGGCTGTTGGGGCTGTGCAAACAGTTCCGATTTGCGTTGGAGCTTATTACTCAACCCAAATCCCCAAATCGCATTTGACTCACTGGATTCAGGTCGGCCGGGGATACTCCATGCCAACCATTTGGGTTTTGTGCTACCGTATGGGTGACCCCGGTGTTGAATGCTCTAAAGGACAATGACACCTACCGGTACATTATTCGCGGTGCTGTGCAATGGTGGTACCGGTATCTGCATGCATTGCGATGCAATCACGCAAAGGCAGAAACATCCCAACAAAAGAGAGCGGCGTTGCAGCTGTACAGTAACAGAAAACAGAATGGTACGGTTGATGGAGAAGAAAAGGCCGAGGGAGGAGAACCCCAACAACGACAACAGCAGCTTCTTTCCTAGGAGCTTATGGTTCTTAGGCGGTCTTTTGGCGGGAGCCCTTCCCAACTTGTTTGTGTCCGGTGCCTGCAGACAGTATGGACCTGAGTTTCTCAAGCTTTTGCAGAGCGCGGACTATATCAGGACCCTTTCTTCAGAGAACACGACGACAAGTTCTCCTCAGACTGAAAGTACAACAACAGATATGCACACTGAAAAGGACAGTCAGAAAAGTGTGGACGATTGGGTTGGATCTCTCCTCTTTCCCCTGAACAAGCATGGCAAGCTGGACCTTCACCCGTCAATGCCCAACTTGATGATTGACATTCGTGCTCGCGAATCTGATTACCTGGCATGGCTACACAAAGACAATACGACATGTCTGATTTTGGTTGACCCACTTCCGGACAGCTATATTCCGCTGGCCATGAAAGTGGCAGAGCATGCTGTGTTAAACATACCCAAAGGACAGAGCTGGTTGAACCCACAATACAAACACCAAGCACTCATTATCCGTGCAGCCATGGGAGAGACTGAAGGAGTTTATGATTTTAATGTTGCAAGGGGACCTGCCTGTGGCTCTATCTTGAAAACCGCAAGAAACAATTCCTTTTGGTGTTTTGATTCCAAGGACACCATCAAGACGGCTGTTTTACGGCTGGAACGAATTTTGGACCTAGTGCCACCTCATATCGACAATCTTCATCTCAAGGTTGATGCAGAAGGTGCTGATTTGACTGTTCTCAAGGGTGCTGGTGATCAAATCAAAAAGTTTGGAACTGTGATCATTGAATGCGCTTACAGCAATGTCACCCGCCACGAAGGGGATTGCCATGTCCATGACGCTGTGAAATATATGGACCAATATGGGTTTGAAGCTCATATTTTGGGAAAAGGGAAAAACCAAGCCAACATCTTGTTTGTGCCACGCCAGAGTACCATTGTTCTGCCACCTCTATTGAGAGTACACCGCTTGGCAATGAGTGGACTGTATCGCAAGTTGTATCAGCAGGCAGATCCATCAAGTGCAAGACCCTCAGACTGATCGACTTGCCATCTTTGCTCATGTGATATTCAATTAATTCGAGTCACGTCCCTCACGTGGCTTTGCTACGCTTCTGAGGTCGTTTATTTATGTCTCTAGTCTAGATAATCGTCTAGCAACTAGCTACCGTAGCCCTTGGTGACGAAGAATTCCCAAAGTGCACGTTGCTGCTTCCGTACCGGTATACCGTACTCTTCTAGAACTACATCTGTAGCAACGTGCGCTTTGGACCTACTTGCAGCAACAAACGACCTTGAAGAAAGTAAAAGCTACTTCGTACGCAGCAGACTTTTCTGGAGTTGTTTGTGTTCAAAACTTGAGCAAATCATTATTTAAGTAGCTACCTCTGTTGTAGTAGACTGCACTCCACTTCAGTGTCTCTCTCTCTCTATTTTAGTTCTGCAGGTGATTGTTGATTGACGTTCAATACAGTTCGTTCATTTGGGGTCAATTTCACTCACTGTCCCTTGACCTTCAAATCCTTGCGCCAAAACATCAAACTCTCGAGAAGCGGATCGACACGCTTGTGAGCCGTCTTTTGGGGCTTGATGCCCTTGGCAATCATTTCATCCTTTTGCATTCCCTTCTTGCGGAACTTGATGGCGGTAGACAAGTAGTAGGCGACCATGTAGTTGGTAGGAATAAAGTTGTAAAAGACCCAGCACAGGGTAGCATGCAACCAAAAGGGTTGAACGACCGGATCGTCGTGACCGATAAACCTCATGCTCATTTCCACGTACTCTTCGGGAGTAGGAACGGTGGCGGAGGGTCGCATCTTGCTCATTTTGGTAGCGACAAAGGACGGTGTGTGGCACTGGCAGGTGACGCCGCGACTGGAGTACTCGACATGGATGGATCGGGAAAACTTTTCTATGAATGCTTTCGAGGCTCCGTACTGGGCCAAGAGTGGTTGGGTGAACAGTCCGGCAATGGAGGAGAGGTTGATAATGGTGCCTCGTCCCCTCTTGGCCATGTCTTCGACGTAGAGTTTGGTCATCCAGGTGGTGCTGCTGATGTTCAATTCCGTCAACTGATCCACCTCCTCCGACTTGAGTTCGTGAAAGTAGCGTGGATAACGGTAACTCATGCCGACATTGTTGACGAGAACACCAATATCCAAATCCTTGGTCTCATTGTACAAGTGGTTGCGAACTGTTTCATCAAAGTTGGAGTAATCTACCACGACGTATTTGTAGGAGACGCCGTCATACTTCTTTTCTTCCATTTCCTCCTTCAATGCTTGGAGCTTGCTTTCCGTGCGACTGACCATGACAACACTGATTCCTCGCTTGGCTAATGCGTACACATAGGCCTTGCCAATGCCATCCGTGGCACCTTGGTGAAAGAAAGAAAAATAGATACAGAATCGAATCAAGATTTGTGAGAGTCAATGGGTCACCCAATCAAGTGAATGTACAGAAAGAGCAAGCCCAACAGGGAGTTGACTTCTTGTCTTCCATGGCTTCTTTTGTCAGGAAGGATACTCACCAGTGACAAGGGCCCATTCTCCGAGCTTCTTGAGGTCCTTGGCAGGACGGAGGAAGTACACATAGATACTCTCCAGGATCTCCTTGGCGGTTCTAACAACGACAACAAGACCCACAAGAATGCATAGCTGAACAGAGAGACCAGCCGAAGCAAAGGACTCCAAGAACGGTGTAACAAAGGCCGTCATGGTGGTGGAACAAAAATGAGGAAAATGATGGAAAATGTGACGTTCAAAGGATTTTGCACCGCGACAGAATAACCGTTCAAAGATTTGAATTAAGTCCCGAGTGACTCGTCACTCGTCGGCTCGATGTTTTTCGTTCGTTCACAATGACACAGCAATTTCGTAGGAGGCATTCTTTCATCAAGCAGGGTCCAAACACAGCAAGCAGCAGCAAGAAGCTACGATAGGCCGAGAAACAAAGAAGACGAACACAATGGCAAAGACTGGAAAGAAGAAGCGTGTCGGTAGTGTCAAAGACAAACGACGATCCAAGAAAAGCAAAAAAGAATGCAGCCATCCAATGACAACAGTAACCTTGCCGGAGGATTGTCGTCGTCACGTCATGGAATTTTTGGATTTTAGCTCGTTGCTAGCCTTTCGGGCCACCGGAAAGAAGCCGAAAAAGCAGGCGGAATCACAATTGTTGCGTCGGGCCTTGTCCTCCTTTCCAATGACGGATGAGAATCACTTTCTGTTGGAGTCTGAGAATCCTCGTCCAGGAAACTCCGAATATGAAATCAAAGTGCGCAACGGTTTTACCACCGAGTGGCTGACGATGGAAGGGGTTGTGGACAAGGCCATGGAATGCCCCCAGAGCAATCCAGTGAGTGACGAGATCAAGGCCGAGCAAAAGAAGGCTCTTCAAAGAAAGAGATGGTGGGCAGGAGACGATATCCTTGACCCTCTAACAGTCGAGTTCTTCACACGAATCATCGATCTCTACAAACCTCTCACTCCCTTGTCAGCATGGCTCAAGATGGTGGAGTTTGGAATCGACGGCAAGATCGTGTCTGTGGATCTTATTAAAAGGTTGACTCCTTTGTACCAGGCAGTTTTCGGTCTGTTGATTCAAGCTTCCTCGATTCTCCTGGTGCGTGTCAAATCCGACAGCTTCTCTTCAACCTGCAATTTGGAAACAGAAAAAGTTGCTCTTCTTGTACGCACAAAGAAGGGGCATAAGGTTCAGATTGAATTGAGTCGGACAACACACAGATTTTGGTGGTGACTACTATCGCAAAGCAGAACCTGCAACTAACCGACAAATCCTTCTGCTGTAGCTGACGCTCTTGAGCTTTGGCAGTGGCGCAGGGAAGATTCCAGAAACACATGAAAGAACATTTATTTGAAGCCAATTCACGCATTTCCTTGGCTATTTGCTCCTACCGGTTTGTTACTTTCATGGCCACTTCTTCTTCATTTCTGCTACTAGGAAGTTCACTTTATTTGTTCCTGTATGCATCACTTGCTGTGTCCTTGCTAGGAAATCCACCAAAAAGCGCCTAAACTATATTTACAACGAACTATAACTATTTGAGTAGAATGATCTATGCACAATCACCAATCTCGTGAGGAGACAGACTTTCGACTCTCCTTGACGTTACTTCTCCGTCGTTTGTTTTCCACGTTTCTCGCCTTGGCGGCTCGACTAATCCCCGTTCTCATCTTTCGTTCTTTGGGTCGTTCCCACGCCTCCAAAATCATGGTTTGCAATTTGCTGACGGCTGTTTTTCGATTCTTTTCTTGTGTCCGATGCTCCTGTGCTTGAAGAGATAAAAATCCCTTTTTGTTGATTCTGGATCGTTGTTGCTGATAGAGTCGTTCTCGCACTTCCAAGGGCAACCAGTCTGCCTCGAGCACTTCGAATCTCAATTCTACCTTGGTATTGACCTTGTTGACATTTTGGCCACCGGCGCCGGAGGATTTTGTGAAAGACAGGTCAATCTTTTCCACGGGAATTTCAATGGACTTTGGAACTTGCCAATTGTCGTTGTTGTTGTTGTTGTAGGAAGAGAATTGTCGTTTTCCATTCGCGTCATAACTGCCAGCGGTTTTGTTGGGGTATCTTGGTTTGTTGTAGCTTTCATTACTGTTGCTGCTGAATGTTCTCTCATTGTTGCTGCCGTTTCTGACATTATTGTTGTTGTTGTTGTTGTTAGTATTGGAAGCCTGCAATCTGGACCATGATAAGGAAGAAGACGAACAGGGTCTCCTCTGTCCTGTGGACTGCCACGTTGCAATCGAATGATCTATGGATTGCGGTAGAAAATCATTCCTTTCGCTGATTCTGGTAAGCGGACGCACAAAGGCCGTCTTTACTGTAAAACTACTGATCAGTCGAGCGGTTGTTGTCATGGTCGTCACAAACAATAAAAGGGAGCAGTGTTGGGACCTCATCATTGTCTCTGGTTGCAAATAATTGTGGCTGTGGTTGTCGAGATTTTGGTGTGAAGTGAAGAGTGTCGTGACGTGGCGGGGGAGAATTAGCAGGAGCGAGTGAACTCGAGCCCTAACCTCGCTGGTTGTGAAAGTCATCCTCCCCTCGACCTCGACCGGAAAGCCAGACCAAAGACATCAAGACCACAACACCTTTCCAAGCCAGGTCCTCTACGGAAGTAAGCCAAAAGCTTGCTAGCTAGCACTTGCCAGTGTATTGCATGGTTAGGTGCCACAATAAGACTACATCTACCATACATTTCCTAGCGGAAGTCCCCTTTAGAAGCTAACAAGAAGCAAGGAGGAGGAAAGAAGTAACTTTGGTATAAATTGGGCCAGACCACAGATTTCTCATTATTGCGAGAAAAGTACAGTACCAATAAAGAAATGCCCGATCGAATGGACAGCGATGCCGGGGTCAAGAAACGACTACCCAACAAGAATCTCTCCTTTACTGGATACAGCACCGAGGAGAGCAACACGGGTGACAGAAACAACAATAAGGGCAAAAAGCGAGCGGGAAAACGTTCCGATGCCGATGGCAGCAAAGGAGACGTTGGCAAGGCATCGGTGATTTGGATGGTCCTCGTCATTGGGTTAATCTTTTGTTTGATGGATGCCATGTACATTGCCCGGGTCTTGGATCGACCGGGAAATGCCGCCGATAACGAATCCATGGATCTCATGTCGGCCGAACGAATTTTGGAAGAATTAAAGAAACAACAAAAACCCCAACCACAGGTCTTTAGCAGTCATTACAGCAGCAGCAGATTGGGGTCCGAGATGACCGACGCATTGATGAAACAACAGCTCCAAATGAGAGCGCAACAACAAGCGGACAAGTTCGATGGTGTGACACCCCAAATGGTTGAAGTAGTAGATCAAAACTCACAGCAGCAACAGCAAAAAGAACAAAAGGGAGGATGGTTCAGTGCCCTCCGCAATGCCGCCCGTCGACAACGATTGACACCCGAACAACAGGCCGAACGTAAACGAAAACGACAAGAAGAAGAAAAAGAAGCCGAAGGAAAACGCATCAAAATGATCAAAATGGCAGCACTCGAAGCCATGAAGGCCGAACACGGCGGAAAACTGCCGGATGATATGATTGACAAGGCACTCGAAAATGACGAAGCCTTCAAACCACGACCCATGGAATACTACAAAGATCAGGCCATGATGGATGGCAAGAAACAGATTCTAGACCTCTTCATTGATGCTGGACTCAAGAATATGGACGATTCCACCTACAAAGTATTGCCCAGTTGGGAGGACGTTAGCACACTGTATGGAGAGGAACCACGTATTATTGGTTTGGAACAATGCAAAACATTCCTAGCAAAGGGAAATCCTTGGGATCACTTTGTTTCCACAGCCGGGTAAGTAGGCAAAAACAGGCATCCAGTGAGAATGCCTTCATTCCGTGTTTCTCAACAATGTGCATCACAACAACAACAATTTTCTACAAACAAACAAACAAACAAACAAACAAACAACAGTACCTTTAATTCTGGAACCAATCTCATGGCAGAAATGCTCATTCACAATTGTCACATGGAAGAACGCATGAAAAAACTTGGAGCACAAAACAGAGGGATCCGATGGCAAGTGCCCTGGGGGAAACATACTCCTCCCGGAGACGAAGAGTACCGAGTGGAACACAAATCCATGAAGGACAAAAATGTCGATGCCAACATGATTCTACCCGCCGTCACTGGTAAGCAACAAGAAGATGATACCCGTCCTTCAATTCGCATTCAATTAGCATTGATAACTTTATTCTCATCCCTCGTTTGACTCTTTGTCATGTCGCATTATTCAATTTTTAAACACAGTCCGCGACCCGTACTACTGGATGCAGTCCATGTGCAAACATCACTACACGGCCAGTTGGAGGGCCAGCGATCGATGTCCCAACTTGACTCCCTCGGAAGCCGATGTGGCCTCATACCCCATGTTACGCGACAAGGATTACTATCCACTTTCCGTTCGATACGCCGACTTTCATAGACATCACAAGAGTTTGACAGGTCTGTGGAATGATTGGTACAATGAATACAAGGGTGTGGAATTCCAACGGCTCTTTGTCCGGTACGAAGATCTGTTGTTCCATCCCAAAAATGTCACCCAAACCGTCTGTCACTGCGCGGGAGGTACCATGAATAAAGGGAAATTCCAATACGTGGTCGATTCGGCCAAGAAGGGACTTGGTGCCCACGGATCGGTTCGAACGGGGTATATTGATGCCATTATCAAATACGGTCACGAACGCAATCGATACAACGGATTTCATCCAGATGATTTGATCTACGCCCGCAAATCACTCGATGTAGACTTGATGAAAGACTTTGGATACAAGTACCACCCCGAACACTTGGAACAGCATAATGAAAAGAAGGACGAGGGAGAAGGCGACGGTGGCAATGAACACGCGGACGAAATGGAAGTCAAGGTGGAACACAAGGAGGAACACGAGGAGCCCGAGGTTCCCGACGACAAGGAAGTCCAGGGCGAAGAAAATGCTGAAGAAGCGAAGGAAGCCGACAACAAGGAGGAAGTCGCAGAAGAGGAAAAGAGTGCTGACGTTGGCGACAAAATTGATGCTGCAGTAGAAAAGGACGCTGGTGAGGCAGAAGAAGATGTGGAGAATGCCGACAATAAGGATGCTGGTGGTGAAGAAGGTGAGGACAAGGAAGAAGGCGAAGACAAGGAAAATGGCGACAACGAGGATAAGGATGATGAGGATGACAAGAGCGACTCGGAGGAGAAGAAGGATAGTCAAGAGGAGCGGCGTTGATCGTAAGCAATGACTATCATTTTCCCTCCGTTGAGGTGCCGCCCTGGTCTCTTGTATACAGCTTCCAACAATTTGCAGACCAACTATACTAGTAAATGCACAGATTCATATGAAACTTTGAGGTGTCCTACCGTATTCTAGGTTGTTTGAAAGGCACGCGGAGGGAGGGATCTTGGCGCATGTTGATCTAACAGCCCAGCATGAGGCATGAGTTTGGTATATACCACAATGTTCTCTAGTTTGCTCTCGCTAACGCATTACGTCTTCACTTCATTGAGAAGAGCTCTTTGGTTTCTTCTCCAACCGAAAAGTCAAAATGGACGCCGCCACCATTGCGATAGTACTCGGCAACATCATTTGACCATTCTCCAAAGGTAACACAGTTGTTGCAAACAGGCAACGACCGATTTTGTTCGCATCGGTCTGAGAAACACCAGTGGGCCTACAAGCGATTGCAAAAAGAGTAGAGTTAGAAGCATTGTTCATACTCAAGGACACCTGGAATGAATCGAATCAGTTGTGGTATCTTACCCTTCGAAGCTCTACTGGAATGGAGAAACACCATATGCACACCAGAAGAGAAAAGGCCAAAATATATTGACCTCGCCCCGTGCCATCAATATCTTGACTATCATCGTAATCACCGTATTTCGCACTGCAAACGATACTTGTTGGATAGCTGCGAGTTCCCCGGTGAATGTTGGTGACCACTGCATGGTGTCCATGGAATGTACTAGCGGCACCGGTAGGAGTCTGGATTGCTCTTGGAGCGAGTTGGTTGGGGCTCGAGATGGGCGAGAAGGACGTCACACAATACCCTTGTAAGATCACAGTCAAGATCATTCCAAGGAGGAATGTACTAGCCTTTGGTAGGGATAAGACGAAGAGAGGCGCCATGGTCGGTCTGGTCTGTTGTTATCTCTGCGAGGTGTTGGTTCGACTGTAATAGTGGTGCCAAAATAATAAAGATCCAAAAGATACTGGTACCTAAAAAGTGTATGACGTCATCATGAAAAAGTGGTTACAATTGACCGCTTGGCTTCTTGAAGAGGAGCGCTCTCTATTTAGAACGGAACATACTAGTAGTAATTAGAAGCTTCTTTGTCCACTTTTCAAGGCCTATTTTGCTGGTAACGAAGAAAAATGACCGGCAGCTGCCAGTTTGGTTCTTCTTTTTCTTCTTCCTTCAGCTTGTTCTTTCGCTTGATGACACACAATAGCATTTGACCTTTTGCCCTGTTAGAGTAGTTTCGGTACTACCAGAAACTATTGACAGCAACCATGGAGGGAATGATGCAAGCTTTCGGCAACAGCAGCAACAGTATGTTGTCTGCCTGGGGTTTCAAGCCCAAAGAGAGGGAAGACGAAGAACTGGAAGAAACCAAGACCGTCAAGACAGTGCAAGAAGTCAATGCCGAGTCCATGCTGGGCAATCTACACAACAATATCAATTTTTTCTTTGACAAGTTGGAACTCAATGAAGATGTGCTGGGCATTGATTACATTCTGCTATTACGGGCCCTCTGTCACAACACGACAGTTCGCTTTCTCACCATTGGCAGCAGTTTCTTGGGATCCCTCAACACGGACGAAGAAGTCCGCATTCTGTTGGAGATTGCCGCCAGCATGCCCAAACTGGAAACCTTACGTGTGACGTTTGTACGCGAAATGGCCATGGAAGCCAAGGTGGTGTCGGACATTATCGGTCGCACCAGCATGCTCAAAGAGTTGCATCTGGTGGATTTGGAACTTCCCGGGGATGACTACGACATGGAATCGCTGGGGGAAGTTCTGGAAAAACTCACCAGTCTGAAAAGTTTTTCCATGCTCAACCTTGGTCTGGAAGAAGCGGTAGATGAATCCGATCCAATCACACCCGATCACATTGTCAATTCGCTCTCCGGATTGCCCGCATTGGAACATGTGGAAATTACCATGAGAAGAAAGGTGAGAACAATAATTATTTGGTTGGAATGAACGTATGAACTGTCACAGAAAATTATTGTGCGCTCACTATCGTTATATTTATCCACTTGATGATTTTTATCTTCTTTTCTGCTAGTTCCTTTGGGAAGGTGATTCTCTGGGCGTCCTCTGTGATTCCTCAACCCTCAAAAGCCTCAAACTCGAAAATATGACTCTATCCATAGCCCAAGTGGCTTCCATTGCATCATCCTTGAATGACAACACGACATTGACATCTTTGCAACTACGTCACTGTGGTTTGGATGATGAATGTTGGAGAGCCGTGGCCAGTATCCTCCCCGAAAACGGCACTTTGCAGCACTTGGATCTTTCCCAAAACGACAAACTGGATGACGATGGATGCTTTGTCATTGGAAGTTGCTTGGAAGGAAACACGGCAATGAAAACACTCAAATTATACAACGACGAAGGATCCGAGGTTACCAGCCGTGGCGTCACGTCATTGTTTCGAATGGTGGAAAAGAACAGTGCCTTGGAGTGCTTGGAAATGTCCTATACCGCCAGCGATGCCGTCGGATTCAAGTCCGTGGCGGATGCGTTGGTACGGAATTCTTCGTTGAAACGACTCTATGTGGAGAATCATGGGAAAGCGGTCAGTACCACCGGAGTGGTGGCGATTGCCAGAGCCTTGGAAAGTGGCAATCAAGGACTCGAAGAGATTGCCATTATTTTTGATGGTATTGACAATGATGGCGTCTTGGCATTGGCAAAGGCCGTCGAAAAGAATTCCACGTTGAAGCACTTTACGTTTAACCGTGCGGAATACCGACGAGCCTTCAAGCCGGCTCCTCCGTCGAGTGGCGATGTTGTGCAACGAATGTCATTGATGATGACGACTGACTTGTGAAGTCGTGCAACGAATGAGTGAACGTGTGTATTTATTATTGCAGTCAGCCAGCCAACAAAAGCTTTGGATCAATCTACAAAGAGACAAAAAACACACAGAGCTAGACCCTGCCGCATATAGTTGGAAAGAAGCGGCCACCTGCTGAAGAGATACTAATAGTGATTGGGAAGGACGGACAGGAGTTTTCGATTCGAAAATTTTCAACTGAGGTTCCTCGTGGCTTCATCAGGAATGAAAATATATATTGTGATAGTAGCTAATAACAAACTTGTAACTTCCATAGAATCTGATGCTCTACCAAACCAAAGCTTTATGCGAGTGTGTCCTGTAGTAAGATCTTCGCGGTGGTAACATTTGCTGAGGACATCATATTTTACACCGTACTGGTGTAATAATAATACTAAGATAGATTTGCTTCTTTAGAAAGCAGATAATATTCTAATAGGCTTTATCCATACGGTACTTCTTTAAAACAAGTACTCGAGTACCTCCTTCCCAAACGTTCAATACAGCATTCTCATCTGATCTTCCAGCTACAAAATCATGATGGGCACGGCACGGCTTGCTGTCTAAGCAAAGTAAACGGCAAGTCCCATCACAGCCATGAGACTCAACATGAAACCTTGGGCCAAGGCAGCACCGGAATCTACGGTAACCTTGCAATCAATACCCACATCCGAGTAAACCTTATTCACGCCCTCAGCGACTTCCTCTTTGGCCTTCTTCAATTCATCTGTATCGCACTTTTGAGTCGCACAGTAGGGAATATTCTCTGCTGACACAGTATCGCCACCACAAGTGATAGACTGGGAGTATGTCGAGAAGGTGGCTCCAGTCACTGCACACGACAAACAACAACACGAAAAAGAAGAAAGACAGTTAGCTTGAGAGAAGCCAAAAAGGCCGGACACTCAACACATTCCCAAGTAAGTCATCATCGCACACACTCACAATTTCCGCAGGTAGTTTCCAAGTTCATGGATGCAGGGAAGTCGGCAAAGTCCACGGAGCATGTGGTGCCAGTGCAGTTGGCAAGGAATTTGGTCATCGCAGGACTAAATTCGTCCACTTTGAGAATTAGGCACACCGAATCAGACAACACGGACACAACACTCAGGAGGATCAATGCGGCAATGGATCGAAGGGCAGTCATGGTGAGATGGTTTGCTTTGGAATAAGATACGGTAGAATAGCCAGATGCTTTCAGAGCTTGAAAGAAGTAGAGATTGTGATTGTGTGACAAAAAGACGCGGTGATGAGGCGGGTTCTGCGAAAAAAATGCAGAGGCAGCAGATGGTGAATAAAAAGCTGATGTCGCTTCTTATTTATTTGAAGGTCAACGGAGATCTTTTGAAAGTTTGGCACGGATGAGGGAGTTCGCATCTTGAACCAGAACGTTGACCGTCTGTTTCGTTCTTAACAAAACTATATTTATACTTAGGGATCGTGCAGGGGTTGACTAGGTCTTTATTAAGTACCTAACCAGGGCTTTAAAGAGGGAGCGTGAGCCCGCTAATCCATGGACCGGTACATAACAGAGCGTGACCGAATGGCTCTTGGAGTATTTGTAGCACTACCGGTACAGTACCTCTACTTGGTGTCAAATACGGTACCGATGTGTTCAGGTCATCAAATTACTAACAGCTCAGATGGCTTTAAGAGGAAAGATCCACCATGTTGTGCTTTTGGCGGTTGTGTACTTCTACCTTCACTGCGGGCTGTAGGCAAGGGTGGCGGCTGTCACCAGAGTAGTCGCCTTCTAAAAAAAAGTCGGTACCTGGTACACTACATCCAACATCTCCGAGTATACCATAGAAGCAAAGGTTGTACATCAAAAACTAGCTAGGATGCAAAGCTGGAGGTTTAACTACAGTAAGGTATGCAAACAATACTTTCAGGCGTAGTAGGATGTAACTGACAATTACGTTATGGTACGTTACATGTACAGCAGTCTGTACCTCCACAGTAGAGAAAAGCCCAAAGTTGGAAACGTGTGAGAGCACATACTATGCATACATGTTGCCTTCAAGGGAGAGCAGATGCGGGCTTCACTGTTAGTAAGTTCACAGGGTAGGGCAATCGTATCGTACGGCCCAACAGCTCCAGCTAACCAACGTGTTGCGCTCTCCCAACCGAAATGCTCTTGCCTCCGAGGGAAAGAGGGTTCAATCGTGCTCATCAAGACTAAGACGCGATCCAACCAAGTTCACCCCAACCTTCTCCAAAATAATTTACTTATGCTTCAATTTTCAACAAATCCGGTTTGTTAGGGGAGTTGAAATTCTGAGATTTAAAAGCTCATTCTGTAATTACGAGAAAAGGACAAATTTGGGTCCATTTGGCGCGATGTTAGCACAGAGCATCAAGGAGTGACCGGATTGATGACTGAGGTTCACGGATTTTGCTCTCTGTATTTTTGGATCCTGCAGGTGTCTATCTTGGCTTGCTTCTCTCTTTCTCATTTCTTTTTCAACGATCGTTGTTGTCATTACCTTGCCAAACGGTTTGCTGTGAAGCACTAGAAACCCATATCCTTTCCACCAAAGCTAAGGGTATCCAGGTTGCTACCAAGGCTTCTTTTGTTGTTCAGAGCACTTTCGATTTTTGACAATTTGCGAGAAAGTTGTGAAGGTGCGTCGATTCCAAGAAGTTTCCTCGCGATCACTCCGATTGAAGGGAGAAGCGCTCACATTCTTATCCGACTTGCCTCTTGTGCTGTGCTTTCCTTTTCCTTGCCATTTTTAGCAACTCTGCCTTCATCATCCCTCCTTCTGAGCTTCCATTAAGAAAGAACAACCATCATGAGATCAACAATCCTCTATTCCATCGTGATTGCTTCCCAATCCATTGCTCCCATCCTGGCAGGGTTTTCGGATCAGTTGCCCCCGAAACCCCAACCGAACGATATCCCTGGAACTGTCAATGGATGCGCCAATGCCATTTTGGAACATGACCTCGATGGAGACGGTGCCATTCGAAGAAACGAGTATCGTCAGTTTGTCAATAATGTGGCGGACCTGCTCTGCATTCCTCCTCGGCCAGAATTGGACTTGGAACTCCAGACGGTATTTGTTAGTATTGCATGTCTCTGTCAAGAACTCCCTGGAAATGATGCATCCTGTTGTTTTGGTGAAAATGCGGGACTCTTCGATGGCGGTGCTTCCCAGGTGGCGGGCAGAACAGCTGAGCAGACATCCTACCTCCGTGCCGCATGTTTGTTGACCCAAGCTATCCTTGGACCCGAACAATGCAAGCTCCCACCTGCTACCCTAGCTCCAGGTGCCGTTACAGCTCCGTTTTTCGTTACTCCCGCTCCCCCCATTCCTCCAGCCGGACCCAACAATCTATTGTGGCTACTGCTACTCTTGCTGTTGCCACTCCTCTGCTGTATCTGCTGCTGTTGCTGGCGCAAAGACAAAGAAGTGGAAGAAGAATATGAAGTAACCGTCAAGGAAGAAACCATTGTGCAAGGTCCCGAAGATCCCATCGAAGACAGAAACATTCCTCCTCAACCCGAAGATGATATCGAACAAGGCCTGGCACCACCTGTCGATACCCCAACCAATGATGAAGGCATCAATCCAATGCCCATGCCACTCCTGGCAGAACCTCGAGAGCTGCATGACGAACCTCCCCTTCAGGATTCACCTCCTGAACCCGCACCCTTGCCCATGGAACCAGAAGAGCCCATGGAACCATTCTCAGCGGGCGACGAAGACGGTGGTGACGACAATGCACCCAAGCCCGGAGTACCTATCCCTCCCATGGGAGCACCTGGAATGGGTGAAGCGGAAGACGACGAAGAAGATGAAGAGAACATTGGGCGCAAACTTGGTGCCAACCCAGATGATGACGAAGAGGAAGACGGCGGACGCAGGTTTGGTGGTCAAGGTATGCTTCCCAATCCACCGGGTGCCGAAGGTGTCGTGTTGCGTCATGTTGAGAGAGAACCAAATGAAAAGGGAGAGTACGAATACCCCGAACGAAACATTCAAGAGTTCAAATACAAGACAGAAGATGAAGGACAAGTACTGGATCACTATGTCCCAGATGGTGGAGTGTATGATCCTCAGAGGCCACCAAGGGAGCCTGTGATCATGCCCACACCCAAATACGAGCGAAAACCACCACCGGAGCCAGTCTTTATTGACCCTCGAAAGCAACGATTGCAAATGGCTCTTGGAGATGGCGAAGTTTGGGATGCACTCGGAGACTGGGAGGAAGAGGAGGAAAAACATGGTAAGTTTGCTGGCTGCCTCTAGCTAGCTGTGCCCAAGGCTTTGATGGTGTGGTGACGTTCATCTGACTTGATTGTTTTCTCCCTTGCGCTCTTACAGGAAATGTTGAAAAGATTGATTGGGTCATTCACAGTGCTTTGACCGTCTTTGCGGGTGCCGAAGAAACAGGCGACCTAGAAAAGGAAGCATCTTCAGAAGAAGATGTGTCAGATGACGAGGAAGGCGACGAGGAAGGAGCATAAGCGCTCAATCCACCTCCCAGCCTCCATTCCAGCCAACTAGCACCTCCTGCTTTCCTCCGTCACAGCCCTTGCCGCTATTCAGAGCGCGGCATAGATTGAAGTACCATACTCTGTGTGTCTCTTGTGCACTACTCTTGATTATTTATAACACAAACCACTCTAAACTAAATGAACTTACACCAACAACATCTTTCAGGCCACCGCACGACGGCATGGTGCATGTAGCTAGCTCATGCAATGCAAACAACGAGAATCGAATCTAGCTAGCTAGCATCCTATCCGCAACGATGCTGAAAGGTTGGCTGGCAATGGAGCTATCTGGCTTCAACTGATGGTCCTATTGCTGCTTGGATCCTGGGTTGCTTCGGACTTGGGTCACCGTGCCCGCAGGACAGCTTCTAGCTTCTAGATAGCTAGCCACAGTGCTACCGGTACCGGTACTGGAACTCTTGCCACCAGCAACTTTCATGCTGTAGCCATCCAGCTACGATAGCTATTATCTGGCTACTAGCTAGCACGAGCAGCCATAGGGAGCGGCTCAGGTCACCAGCAGCTTTCATGCTTATGCCGCTTGTGGAAGTCAGCTGTGTTGATTCCCGCGTTTTTTGACTCGACTGCGGGACATAGCTAAACTGGCCAATTTGGGGGGATTCTCGATTTGGGGTCATCGTTTGGATGCGGTAGGAAACCCACTTGTTGCCAAAAAATGAGAGGGCCAAATTTTTCTCTCACTTCTCTTTTATACTAAACCATCATATCATCACTCCTACCCGCAAGCTGGACACCTGGAACTATAGCATCGAAGGAGATACTGAAAAGGACAACTGCAGAGAGAGGGAAGTGGCTTTGTTGTAAGAGCACGGCGAACAAATGCCTTTGAACCTGGAAGCAGAAGCAAGCAACGGCTGAGCGTGAAAAATGAGAAAGTTGCTGGAAGACGTGCTGCCAGAAACCCCTCATATCCAGCTGGTGCCGAGTCATATTCGCAGTATGAAACGCAAGCGACGACAACGGACCAAACCGATGGAGGGCATATCCCATGTCCAGCAGTGTCCCTCGAGAGATCCAACTATTAGCAGGATCTCTTTCAGCCCACGGCCGTGGGCACGGGTAGCGACAATCTGCCTAATCACGTTGCTTGGAATTCCCGACAATACCGGTACGCTTGTCCGAGCCCACCCCCCTCCGCCATCATCCAATGACATCTTTGGAACCGTCAATGGGTGTGCCACTGCCTTGATTGAGATGGATGACAACCAAGACGGGAGAATTTCCAGGAATGAATACCTTGACTTTGTCAACCTACTGGCTGATTTCTTGTGTGTTCCACCCAGGCCCAAGATGGATCTAGAGATCCAGACCGTTTTCTTCAGTATTGCCTGCTTGTGTCTGGAACGGCCGGGCTATGGTCCACAGTGTTGTTTAGCTGATTCAGCAGCGATCCAGACCAGAGGAGCAGCCGATGGGCTTACGCGTACCGAGGAGCAAGATTCCTACCTTCGAGCGGCTTGTCTTCTAACACAGGCTATCCTGGGACCACAACAATGTACAATTGCGCCACAAACAATAAGTCCAGCAGCCGTCATTCCAGTGACTGTTTTGACACCTCTTGCTGCTACCGGTGGTGGGCTGACACAAGGACAAGAGATTGCCATCATTGTCGGGGCGGTACTTTTGGCTCTTTTGTGTTGCTTCCTACTTTGCTTTCTTTGTGCGGGCAAGGATAAAGAGCAGGAAGAGGAGGAAGAAGAGATAATCAAGGAAGAAGAAGTTGTAGAAGCACTGTCAGTGCCAGTTGACGAAGAAGCTGTGCCGCTTGTCCCCAACGAAGTAAAATCAGAACCCAGGGAACTCCCACCGCCACCTCCAACACCCAGTCCTCCACCACCGCCGACCCCAACTCCGTCGCCGCCTCCAGAGCCCGAACCTGAGCCAGAGCCTGAGCCAGAACCTGAGCCAGAACCTGAGCCAGAACCTGAGCCAGAACCCGAGCCTGAACCCGAGCCTGAACCCGAGCCCGAGCCTGAACCCGAGCCAGAGCCAGAACCGGAGCCAGAACCAGAACCATCACCTCCTCCTTCCCCTCCACCGCCCGTCGTGGTACCCATTCCTGTGCCGGTGCCCGCAGCGGACAGTAGTGATGAAGACTCCGAAAACATAGGGAGAAAGCTGGGGGCAAAACCTGATGATGATTCTGAGGGGTCAGAAAACAGAAGGTTTGAGGGAGAGGGTTTGCTGCCACAACCGCCAGCGCCCGAGGGAATTGTGCTGCGGCACGTGGAAGTGGAAAAGGAAGGACCTGGTGAATACGAACCACCCGAACGGGAGCTGGTCGAGGATAAACCGCCACCGGACGAAGACAGTGTTCAAGAGTTCGAACCGTATGTCCCCGATGGAGGCATTTACGATCCACAGCGTAACCTCAAGTTTACAGGATACCTTCCTGATGGAGGCGTGTACGATCCTCAGCGACCAGCAAAAGAACAAGTGGTATTGAAACCGCCAAGCTATGAAAGGGCCAAGAAACCAGAACCAGAGCCCTTTGACCCTCGCAAATTGCGAAGAGAAGTGGGAATGGGAGACGGGGATGTATTTGACGCGTTGTCATCGTACAAAGAGGAACGGGAACACAGTAAGTGACATTTGGCCGCAATGGATTTGACTTGTGGGGTGTGCTAACACTTGTTGCATTCTTAAAACTGGAACTGAGCAGCAAGAGATTATAGGTTTGAGTGGGTTGTCCAGGGGGCTCTTGAAGCCCTGACAAAGGCGGAAGAATCAGGGGATCTGACAAGACCGCGACCAAGACGGGCTGTTTCTCCACAGCACCAAAGGACGAGCCCCACTCCACCTCCACGATCTCGCTACAGCTACTCGAGTAGATCGAGCAGATCATCTCCTGACACTCCCGGAACTCCTGGGTAGACCCTCTGTACTCCTCAAGAGTACCAGGTAGCTCTGGAGTAGCTACTAGCTAGCTAGCTAGAGTCCAAAGATACTACGTGTGCATGTACTCCTTCTTCGAGCAAGTACTAGTACTAGTACCTACAGGTCCTTCTGCAGGACCGTCCAACGTTTTTCACAATAAAAAACTTCAGATTTCCATGACTGGAAACAAGCCCTTAAACAAGCCCTTAAATCTTCAACAAGCCCTTAAACAAGCCCTTGAAAAACAAACCCTTAACAACAAGCCCTTAAGTTCTCAAAACAAACCCTTAAGCCTTCATGTAAACCCTATAGAACAAGCCCTTATCAGGAGCAAACAAACCCTTAAATAAACAAGCCCTTAAAACAACCCTTAAAGCTTCAACAAGCCCTTAAACAAGCCCTTAGAAAACAAGCCCTTAATTGTACTTTAGTCAGTCGTGTCAAGTTTTAAAGCCTGAGTGAAAAACGTCGGACGGTCCAGCTGCCTTGATTTGGTCCTTTCGTATTTTACATGTAATTAATTAACACTAGGCTTGCCGGCTCTCGGGGGACAACAGACTTAAAAAAGGATGCATTTTGATCATCTGTTATTCCAGCCAAACGGCCAGCCTCTGGGCCGGTCGACTCTCAATTTCCGCCCCACATTTTGTCCTTCACACAACCGTTGCCGAAGAGAGTTGCCAGTTGCTCCAAACAACAACAAGCTACGCTGTACACTGTGTAGATACAAAATGGACTATTCCCCGAAGCAGGTCAACATTTTCATTTGGCAAATATTCACTGCCTTTTTTCTGCTGTAGCTATGGCTGCCGTTGCAAGCGATTACTACAGAGACAAGGCAACCGTATTCGGTCATCTACCATGGTATCTGCTCTTGTTCAAGTCAGTCTTGTATCTCGTGTGGACACTGCTTCACAATCACATTGAGACAACTGTCATCTCTCGAGAGATATTATATACTTTGATGAATGCGTTACTTGTCGCAATTCTTTTGACCCCATTGGTTTCGGGCTCGCTCCTATCTCACGATCATGAAGGGTTACTTTTGCTTCATTTTCATCTATGTGCGACGATGGCAAAAGTACCAACTCTGAAGAAGGATGGTGTCTCGACTTCTGAAGAAGCTTCAGAATGGAAAGAAGCTTTAGTGTGGAAGATACGTCCTTGTCTACGGTGGGAAATCTGGGTTTTCGATGCACTCAGCTTTGTCTGTTTTCTTACCACATGATTCTTCATCAAGAGCCCGACCCGACAACTGACTATGCCACCGGCGTGACTCAGACTCTGCGCCTGGGAGGAGGAATTCGAAGTCAAGTTGTGCTCTTTTTATTGCAGGTCATCACATTCTTTCCCTTGCATGTCCGGAAATTGAGTTACGAAGTTCTCATCGCAAAACATAGCTCGGTGGAGTGGATTGTGGGCCGCCTAGTCGGCCTCCGGACAATATTCACTATGAACTTGGTCCTACTGCTATCCACCGCCTTTTCGAATCAGCGATGGCTGTTCTTTCCAGCGTTCTTCATTCATTTTGTTGCGGCTTTCATTTTTCGAATTCCTATCAGTCGCAACGAATCTCGCGTACTGCGGGAACATCGAGTCTGTTATTTGGCAATGGTCAATTCCTTGCTTTACGAAGAGTCTTGATTAATAATAGAAAGGAGCTTGGAAGTTTCCGGAGGAGGGAGACCGCTACTATCAACTGTTTACCTACCAATTCAATGACGATGACATTGGCAAACAACAATAAGGCTAATCCCATAATTATCTAAGATATCATAGCAGAAAATACTTCACTGCTCCAGCGATTATTTGCAACAGTTTCAGGTCAGGAACGTACATGTAATATCCTTTGCCATTTCTGCACACGAGTCCAAGACTGGAGCTCCATCCAGATCAAACCGCAGTTCTCCTTTATTCCACCATTCCTCCGCATAGGGTACATTCACCACCCATACCCGACCCTTAGGTGCACCGTCAATCTCTCTAGATGTTCCCCGAAAGAGGAGACCGGCCATCACTGCACCCGGCAGCATATAAAACATGACACAGGAAAAGTCGAATCCGGCCAGTGTTTGGCAGTAAGCCGGCAATAACATGAATGTTGCAACCGGCAATATGAAGAAGTAGACATCGGCAAATAGGAAAGCAATAGTGCGCAGCAACTTCCACTGCTGCCTCGGTCGAATTGATGCTGCAACCATATCCAGTGTGCTTTGGTTCTCGATGTCTTCTTTATTGATGGCAGAACCAATGCCTGCTTCTCTCTGGGCCCTGTCCAAGAGGATCAGGACTGTTACATACCTCAAGTATGGTGCCATGAAAAAATCCATGCTTGCTCGGCAAAAGTTATCCTTCATACTCTGCAGTGTTTTCACGGCATCAGCGGCTGTAGGAGCAACCAAGAAAACCAAGCAAAGATCCCGGACAACGTACCAACAAAGCAGCAGCACAAGACCAGGCTTCACCACAGACGACATGCTGCTCCAAAAGAACAGATATGGCAAAACCCCTATGGTATCCCAGGTTTGTTCGCGATGCTCCTCATCATTGTAGAGCACGATCGACTCCACATTCATCGTTTTGGCAAGCAAGCTAGAAAAGCTTGGCATGCACCATGCAACCAGCCAAAGATAAAGAAAAGGCAAGAAATCCATGATTGCAAATATGGTGAACCAATACAAGTTTGTCGGGTAACAAGGCGTCGGAGTTGATGTGGCAGTGTTGGCCTCGCTCATGGCAGAGGCAGGCTGTGTACAGGTAGCAGCCTCAGTCTCAGGAGGTTTCTCGGTCAATGTCATGTTGCCTGGTTCATTATTGATGAATGGAACAACAGAACTATCAAATAAATGTTTGTCTTCTGCGTGGAACTGACTGGGAACGAAAAGACGGGCTTCTGCGTGGAGACTGACTCTGAAGCCCCGCGGCACGATCGTTCCACGGTGCAATTGTCGCGGGCAAGCACTCGGGACAAACTCTCCACTCCCATCAGTCTGTTACTCCCAATCAATGATGAGATGATTTTTACCCCGTCCTCCGACTCGACTCCCCGTCCTCTTGATAACAATCCACTCAATTAAGTCAGCGGGAGCTGCGATACCTCGGCAGAAAGACAGCGAGCGCCGACAAGCGGCGCTCGCCTAGAGCAGCACTGCACGACTAGTTGAGTAGAGTAGGGTGGTGGAGAGACTCGGCCATTTACTGAGCCGACCGTCTCCGCTACCCAGGGGTGCCGCTCGTGATTGCTAGAATCGCGAGAGGGAACCAAGGCACGAATGAGGCAGTCCCGCGGGATGTGAGTCCCGCGTGATTGTGCGACATTCGGCCAACCCAAATAGCCAAAGGCAGAACAGGGTGGGAGCGTAGCGGGGTGGGAAAAGTTGGGAGAGACCGAGAGGAGGCAAGGTCTCTCTGGGGAATTTGGACTAAGGGAGGTTAGTCCTCGTAGAGTTCCGCGTGAAGGAGGATCTCTGCGATAGTAGCAGGCGCCTGAGCAGGCGGGAGGAACTTGTCGTAGGTTCCCGCCTGGAAGGTGTAGGCACCATGGGCCAGCATTTTCTGGGAGTAGTGGTGCGTGATGGTGGCGGCCTGGATTCGGAGGTAGCGCAGCATGGCGTCTGACTTCCATCGACCGAGGAGGCGGATGGCATCAGAGTCCACGTGGGCGCAGAGGAGAGCAGTGGCGCCGCCCGGACGGAGGGAGCGAGCGGACACTTTCATGTGGGAGATTCCGGTGGTCCGTTCGAGCCGCTTTGCGGCAGCACGAAGGGCATCGGTGATGAACTTGGGCTTGACGTTGTACCATTTCTTACGGACGGAGTTGTAGTGTTTGTAGAGTGGAGTGGAGGCGCGGTCCTCCAATGGAGTGTTGAGCGTGATGTGTGCGGAGCGGATGTGACGGACGAGACGGGCGAGGGATTTGACAGGACAAAGCCAGGGGTCAGCGGTAGCCCGGTGACCCACCGACTCGCCTTTGACGGCGTTCTTTTGGTCAGTGAATGTCAGCGAAGCCGCGGTGAGGCGACTGGGGTCAGACACGTCATTCAAAGAGATCTTGTCAGCGGTGACTTGGAGGCGACCGGCGATGGTGAAGGTGATGTCCTCAAGGAGAAAGGCCTGGCTTCGGGCCTCAGGGTTACTGGTGTCGAGGTATTCAGCAGGGCGGAGGAGCCAGAAGAAGGCGCAGATGCAGAGGTCCCGAGTGTGTTGGTTGACGGTTCCACGGACGGGGTCAACGTAGTCGAGAGCGGTGAGCATTTCTTGGAGGATGGAGATGTTGGCAGGGTAGGCCCGGTCGGGAGGTCCGTCGCCGTCATGGAGTCCTTTGTAGTAACCAGTGAGTATGGGATGGAGCTTTCCGTCGG